ATAAATGGCAAATTGTTAATAATAATTTATGCAACTCTTGTGGACAAGTTGACTCAACTTTTCATTTTATGCTATATTGCAAGGATGTGACTATGTTTTGGAAAATGATATGTAATTTTATATTTAATCTATTCCAAATAGAAATACAAATAGACCAGAAGATAATAGTTGTAGGAAAAGATATTGGAAACAAGAAATATTCACTTCTGAATATTATTTTAAATTATGCGCAATATGCTATTTATAAATGTTACGTTAAAAAGATTGTTAATGGTTCTGTTTTCTACCCACATACTTTGTTTTTTTAATTCAAGTCGTTGCTAAGATTATTTTTAAGATATGAATGTGTTAGCAAAGAAAATAATACTAAGCTGGAAGAATTGTTGAATGTACTTTAATCTTTAACCTATGTTATGTTTCACTCAATTATTGAGTTATTAATGTACAAATGTATTATTATTATGGAAATAAAAACCTCGCTTGAGGATAACAGAAAAATAATCATTTTATAATCACATTAATACTTTGCGATTTTGCAAGACGCAAAGCATCCGTGTTATTGTCCTGTTCAGCAATAAAATGTCCATTTTGTCATGTTTATTTATCATATAGTAGCTTGAATGTAATGAAAGGTTAAATCTGGCATACACGGAAATATACAAATACAGTCTCTTTGTCCTTCTCTCTGTCTACCTCTCTCTGTCTGCCTCTCTCTGTCTATCTCTCTCTCTGGCTATCTCTTTCTTTCGATTTCACTAAATGCAATACGAAATCAATCCTAAGTACGCTATATAAATTGAAGTATCCATTGCGTAGGTTGAGCTTTATTGTGTATCTTACATTTGATATTAAACAAGTGTGGCTTGCAGTTGTCTCATCACTATACATATATTGATCATCTTTATTCAGTCATACTTTGTTTTCAAGATGTACATGAAAACCAAATTAAATTACAATAAAGATGTGACACAAAACCCCAGGTCCTTTGCGTGGTTATGAACATTACTGCTTGTGTGGGTGTAACGAAAGAAATAACATTTTACGAATATAACATAAGCTCAACAAAGACAAAAGAAACATGAATGTTTTAGTGATTAACTACGGCATTTCTCCTACTTATAACCGATAATAACATACCATTATGCGATATTGCTACCAATCTTCCTCATCAAATTCTTACAAAACCAATATCATCATTCTAAATAAGTTTCCTATTACATACATATATAATAGCATAATAATAATATTAGAGGGAACACAATATATATATATTGAGTGTAAAATTCGAAAAAAGATATATGTATTCCTGTATATTGCTAAGTAAATATCCAGGAACCAACCGTTTGTGTGTGGTATATAAATAGAACACAGGGAATACATAATACTTAGGTGAGTGAAATTCATACTTTCCATTATATTCAACGAATTTACTATACAAGTGCAATATAATGCGTATATTTGTTTGGTACCAATAATGTATTAACAAAAAAAAATACCTAGACAATGTACAGTTCATAATACTTTCATATTTACATGACTTCCTTGTTTTAAATTCCTTTGTTTAAATGCAGGGCAGGCTGAGGATACAAGACTGATTTAGTCGTTTTAACAGTAGGAATATGTATGTACAACACGCTGTCATTTTCAAAAGGTAGTGCATGCATATTATGTCCCCCTTCATCTACGTGTTTAATTGATAATTTCCATTTTTCTCATTTCATTAATATTTTTTTCTTTAAAGTTATACGAGACAATAATGCAATAATTACATGTTGTGGTAAGCCGGTCAAATGTTAATGAAATAACAAAATCTTGGTTACTCTCCTACCCCTCCCTGCGTTATATAAGACGTTATAGGTAGACGAAATACAGTGACCAGGACCCCGTCCTATAAAGAATCGATTTAAATAGCAATTATTTGCGCTTGATATCAGTCGCAACTTTGTACATATTAAGAGATAGAAGACGGCAAACTGACGATTGATTGGAGGACTTAAATTTCATTAAATTTCATATCCTTTTTTTAAGTCCCTTATTTTTTAGTTCCTCATTTAGTGTCATTCAAAGACATCGCTTTAATTTCAAATTCAAATTCCGCATCGCCATAACGCACTCACACCTGTGTATTTTTTTTTATAATATCATGTCATGTACAACTTAAAGTAGTAAATAATATGAGCTTGTTAGGATATAATACCATTCGGGTGTTTTATACGTATCTTGCTGTTTAAATAAGATCATTTCTTCTCACTAAACACACGCCCCTCTTCCCCGAATCTTCTTTGCTTAGCATATTCATATCTTATTCCAAATGTTAATCATCGCGGCATATTGTATGTGTTGTAATGATACATTCCTTTTCAACTTTTGCCTATAATTAGGACAACCTTATTCTAGTATCGAGTTTCAATGTTGTTACAAACCTGAATATTGTGAATAAACATGGCACTATGGACTGACTAATCTTAAAATCAATTCAATGCACCAATCACCTTTCAAAGTTATTACCTTTATATCCATTTCACTTTAATAATAATAATAATAATGTTCAATTCTTATATAGCGCATATTACAAAATTGTCTCTATGCGCTTAGATACGAGAGAGAGAGAGAGAGAGAAGAGAGAAAAGACATGAAGAATATTGAGCTTTCACCGTTTAGCAATTACAATTATCAAATCAATTACAAAATTCACATGTTTACTATATTAATTTAAATTTAAGACTGGCATGATCGAAACAGATATGTTTTTGAGTCGGATTTAAACTGATGCAGTGAAGGACAACGTTTTAGAGACTCTGGAAGATTGTTCCATAGTTCTGGTATGGCATACTGGAAAACACGGTGCCCATATGTTTTTGGGGGATGTGACTAAAGGTGTGAATGTATGTTTTGAAGATGAACGGAGATTGCGAGTTGGTAGATGACGTGAAATAATATTTTGCAAATACATGGGAGTATCATTGTGTTTACATTTATATGCAATTGTTAAGAGTTTAAAGGAGTTTCAATTGTTCGTCTATTGTTGTAGTGCATGTCTAAACCTAACTTAATACATATATTTCATTTTAAATCAACAAGTTCCCTAAGATGCTGCTTGTAAGTGATGCTTGCAGGGTGATGTAGATATACAGTAGGCTTGCGGGTGCACCATGTGAGAGAGAGGAAGGTTTGAGGAGTCACTCCTGACGACGGATAGTCAACCTGTTCGAAACGTCGAGCCACTCCCGCCACCCATCCTCTCCAAGCGCTATAGTTCTCCTTAGAACTATAAGCTAAGAAAGATAACCAACAGTCTTTTTCAAGACTACACCAACAGTCCTTTTCAGGACTACACACCCTCAAGACAGATTACTGAGAGTCCTTTTCAGGACTCCTCAATCCTCCCTCTCTCTCACATGGTGCACCCGCAAGCCTACTGTATACGTTCCCTTAGGTCTATCATATCAATACTATCAAAAGGAAAAAATTATTTTGAATAGTAATTTTAAATAATAAGGCTATAACGACATTCAAAATCCTGGAGAGTTATAGCGATTTACGTGTATTAAATTAAAATGGTAAAATGCTATCAATGTGATTTAAGTATAAATTCAAATAAGTTGATATAAACTTGAAGTTTAAGTTGATTTCTGATCATACGATTACATTGTGAATGAAACGGTTAGGAATCGATCGGAAAAAGTTGATCAAGTAGCATATATAGTATTAGTGAGTACTGCAAGGTTCTGGAATCACCAAAATGATAAGAATTTGGCCTGGTCTTTCTAAAAGTATTTGGGGGACGTGCCCCAACTTTTTTCAGGATAGCTCCAGGAATATGTCTAGAATAACATACTAAAAGTCCTCGTATATCCTCCTTGAGCGTTTTCCGTAATCCAAGATGGCGTCCAAAATGGCCGCCATTTCCTGATTTTCTTAAAACTTTGCAACTAGATAACCCAAATACAAAATTTAAATGTCTAAATATATGTTTTTTAGCATTAGGAACTCAATAAAACACTTGTTGATCAATTTTGAAACACACAAGTAGCTATAAACCACTTTAGCCCTTCCCGAAATCCAAAATGGCGCCCAAAATTGCTGCCATTTCCTGAATTTCTTATAACTGTGCAACTAGATAACCGAAATACCAAATTTAAATGTCTAAATATACGTTTTTCAGCATAAGCAACTCAACCAAATACTTATCAATAAATTTTGAAACACACAACTGGCAGTAAAACTACTTGAGCCCTTTCCGAAATCCAAAATGGCATTCAAAATGGTCATTATTTCGAATTTATCTCACTGTATTAAAGTAGGTGCGTTATGAATACAATCAAATGTCTATACTAGAAAAGCACTATTGTAATACATATCAGTACAAATAAACCTTTCATTAAATAATTAAATATTTCTTATAAATAACGTATACACACCCACCCACACATGCACACATATGGCTGCTTCCATCAGACTGACAGTGTGCAAACCGTGAAGAGTACTCAATGTTAGATGGAACTGAAAATGGAGACACATTAGTACCAATAACTGTCGCAAGGGCAAAAGTCACAAGGTTTCAAACAGGAAATGCACCTCAATAGCACATGCCATGTCATCTCTGCTAGTAGACCATTTCTGTCGCCAATATTGTTGGAATGGCTTCGTATAAACACCGGAAGTGTGGCTCACGTGAACAGATAGACATCTTGAGGTGAGCAACGTGAGCTTTGTCCTTCATGGATTGGTTTCATGAAAGTGGCCATGCAGAGTGACCAGTGCGAGAATTGAAACTCTGCCCACCATAGATTTAGACCCCTCCAATCCGAGTACCATCTACACGGCACTATACTTTGCACAGTCACAATGTGAAAAACATATAACTTAAGAATATGTGCAGTAACATTTAACCAGCCCTCGTACATCAAGGCAGCAGAGATTGTAGCTTCTTCTCAAGACCTAGGAAAAGTAATCGTCCGTTTTGGTGGATTTCACCTCCTCATGTCATATCTCGGCAGCATATAGTCCACGTCATGGGCAGAAGTATGCTTGTAGAGCTATGGGAGACAGTGTACGCCAAAGAGTCTGTCATACATATGCAATCTGGTCATGCATTTCCCCCTTCCCTTCGTGCTCACATTCTTACTGCAGCTGCCCTCATTGGCGTGTTGATGGGTAAACCTGGCGTCTTAGACAGCATAGATAAGGACCACTTAGCAAATCTGTACGGTGCACTCCTCAACCAGGACAAGAAGGTGACTGCTGTACCTGAGAAGAGTGTGTCAAACGGTTAAAGTCAGATAATTTCACAACTCATTGAACGGGCAGCAGGACACAGTAGGACAGGGAAACTTTGGTTGCAGTAAATCCGACATTTATGTGTCTCTTCTGCAATGTTTCATTCCAGCTGAAAGGACAGGGGACTGGAAGCTCCATCTCAGCTGTGTGCGGGAAATGATACAACATTTCCATGCTGCAGGACATCTTCCCTAGTTCAATTATGCCAGGTTGTTTTTACAACAGATGGAAGCTCTAGAGCAAACCATGCCAGGAAATGAATATACACAATTCGCAGAAATGGGATACTTCACCATCCGCCGTGTGGATTCATTCTGGGGTGGAAACTTCTCTGATCAGACCATTGAAAAGTTACTGATGCGGCAGTTGAAAACATCTAGAGAAATGACTCGTGGACGTGGAATCACAGACAGTACATTGGCTATTAAAGTGGGTTCGTGCACTTCCTCACTGTGTCCCTACCTGTTATGAACTGGAACAGTTCACCGGAGTACACACTGGTACACCAGAGCAGCATAAAGACATACAGCAAAGTACCAGGTCAAGAGACAATAAAGAAAGATGTATCTTTGTTGGATGGCTGCAGGCACATCACCATTTGCTTGATACGAAACTAATTGCCTGGTCTCCTTGTCAACTGGCATCGTCGCTGGCTTATCTGTTAATTGTGATTAACCTGTACAAATTGGCCTAGTAGCGGCATCCAAAACGAATGCATGGTAGGAAGTTTACAGAATTCAAGCTACGTACATCGTAAGGACAAGGTGAAGACCATTGGTGCCAAGAGTAAGAGAGTGAAAATCCGGGGACAAAGCACATAAGTCAACCCAACACTACTGTTCAACTGAATAACATGTGTCCTGAATAACAACACTGAGATGGAATCGGTCTTTGCTTATGAACATATTCCCACGCACTTTCCCTTTCAAAGGTGGGGTGATCGATACGGAAGCCAACAAAGAGTTCTCTGGGTCTCCTGCTGAATTCGTTCCCCAAGCAATCCAACGCGCGAGAAATGGTCTCTTTGTTTAAGATGGTGGTCGCCTACTGCACCCTTAAGCATTATGGAGCTCATTTGACGGTGGTGTTCGATAGATATGGAAGTGCAACTTCGACAAAGGTAGCTGAGCAGAGACGAATAGCCCAAAGATGTACCTCTTTGTTTGATGATAATATATTATGCCAACAAGCACAACCCAAAACAGCTTTCCTTGCCAACAGCAACAATAAGATGAGACTTATACAAACTCTACGTGACAAAATACGTACCGGTATCAAGCAGACAGAAGCGGATGCCACTAACCTGATTGTCTCTACAGCACAAGCAGTAGCAGAGTCAGAACAGGTGCCCGTTGTTGTCGTTGGTAAGGACACAGATTTACTGGTCATGCTAGTTGCTCCGGCAACCACTTCCACAGATATGTAGATGCTATGCCGCAGAATCCTGTCACGGTCTTCAACATTCATGAAATTCAGCATGCCATAGGGGACACTATAAACTGCCTGATGTTTCTTTAAGCTGTGACAGGGTGTGATACGGTCTCTGCAATCTACCGTCAGGGCAGTCGTAAAACTCTCAATATGGTCCACAAAAAAACTTGACTATGGCTTGCTTGATACATTCGCAGTGAAAGCACCCATGACGAGGTAAAAAAAGAGCCGGGAAAGCCTTTGCGGGGCCAGCAGTTCTTGATGACTACCGTCACACTGCATACAATTAAACGGGCAATTGGTCGCAGTTCTCTGAGTTCATCCTTTCAGTTAAAAAGTCTACTTCCAACTAGTGCTGCAGCAAAGCAACATCCATACCGCACCTCTTACAGTCATTATGTATAAAAAGCTTTAGCGACCTTGGTACTAATGTGTCTACATTTTCAGTTCCATCTAATGTTGAGTACTCTTCACGGTTGCACACTGTCAGTCTGATATCGTTGAGGATGATGAAAGCAGCCATATGTGTATGTGGGTTAGTGTGTACTTTATGCATAAGAAGTATTTTTTAATTAAAAGATTGTTGTACTGATAGGTATTTCAATGGTGCTTGTCTAGTCTAGACATTTGATTATATTAATTACGTATCTACTTACAATGAGATAAATTTGGAAATAATGGCCATTTTGGGTGCCATTTTGGATTTCGGGAAGGGCTCAAGTGGTTTTACTGCTACTTGTGTGTTTCAAAATTTGTTAATAACTATTTGGTTGAGTTCCTTATGCTGAAAAACATATATTTAGACATTTAAATTTGGTATTTGGGTTATCTAGTTGCAAAGTTAGAAGAAATACAGGAAATGGCGGCAATTTTGGGCACCATTTTGGATTTTGAAAAGGGCTAAAAGTGGTTTATAGCTAATTGTGTGTTTCAAAATTTATCAACAAGTATTTTATTGAGTTCCTTATGCTAAAAAACATATATTTAGACATTTAAATTTTGTATTTGGGTTATCTAGTTGCGAAGCTATAAGAAATTCAGGACATGGCGGCCATTTTGGACGCCATCTTGGATTGCGGAAAACGCTCAAGGAGGATTTATGAGGACTTTTAGTATGTTAATCTAGACATATTCCTGGACCTATCCTGAAAAAATCAGCTTGTTACCAAAAATGTCCATGTTAAAACTAATGCTCTTGGCCTATTAGTATATGGCTCCTCGATCATCCAAATGAACTTATCAAATGCTTCCTTTGGCAAATTCATGATAAAAGTCAAGATAAGGGAAGCAATACCTGTAGGAACTGATTTAGGGTAGACTAGGTTCACTGTTCGTACGAAAGCCCCTTCTATTTTCATTGATATCTTTGTAAGTTTCATACGCCAGTAGAGCAGTATGTAGGTAATACAGCCATATCACGGGCTGCATGAATCGCCCCATCATTGTCCCTACCACAGTTCCGTAGTACAGTGTCAATGCCTTCCATTCACTAACATAAACTACGGATGTCAGCCAGTCTGTTGCGTTAAAAAATATCGTATACATCAAGCAAATCCGTACGAATTTCCACTCGGCTTCGCTGATTATTGTCTTACGTTGGATGATAAGCAGAAATGAAGTCGTAGAACTGACTACGTATATCTGTGAAACGTAGTAGATAAGGCCAAAGCATGCGAGAGATAGTACGTCTGTGGGTAGAGGATCATGGCCTAAGAGGATTCCAACACTGGCAACCAATCGAAACACATCGGCCATAAACATTCCACTGCAACCAATAATGAGTATGACATCATGGCTTCCTATTAGCCCATGCTGGAACGAGATGTAATCCTTTAACCGAAAGGTTTCTAAATTACCGCTTAGAAATAGTTGATAGCGGTAAAGAGCGATGAATGGTAGGAAACCTATCATGTTAAAACACATTAATATGTATGTCCTCGTTATTTCGGACAAATTGAAACTCTTACGGGATACTACAAAGTTATCGAATGAAATAAAGGTGGCGACTGTAATAAGCGATAAAAGAACAATGTGACAGACACCAAAGTATCTCCTCCTTGTAATTAGTTTCTTAAAGCTTTGTAACGGATTCCTGATGTATGCGCTGATGGATATTCTACATGGTCGCTGAAAATGTTCAAAGTCTGCTTCATCGCTGCTGGTAACTTTTAGGCATGCTTGTGGAAGAATAGATACCCATATTTTCCATAGGATGCCTACTGCAATCAGACCAATGTCTGTGTACAGGGGTGTAATACCAGTAATGCATTGTTATACATAAATTCGATAAATGTTTTAGGCAGTTCACATAAAAATAAAAGAAGATCGTGAGAAGGTTCTACAACAACACCTAGAGGATATATTGCGTTGAGAGCCAACATGCCTAGACCTGAGGCTAAGTATGCACCAATAAATATAGGGAAAATACCAATTTGAACGAACACTGCATCGTAGAATATATTAAAGAAGGCCAGATTTCAAGCTAAACCAATGGACACCAGGAGATCAAACACCCCCTCACATACCAAATTAAAATTGAGTTTCATCGGTGCTTCTGAAGCATGACTTTCTGTAAGGCAGATGATGACACTAACTATTTTTAAAGGAACAGTTAGTAATGCGATAGTTCCAAATACGTTATATAGTACCAGAAGTGATTTATGAGGTCTTTTGTATGCGAAGGACTTCAGCAAACTTGTATTCTCCACCTCGATATCTGATGTTGGGGAACGATAGGACTCCATCTGTGCCAGCGCTTCCAAATTTCCGCTGACCATTTTGGTATTACTGGAAATATCATTTAAATTGTGTGCAATTTGTTCATCATTAGACACGATTGATTCAGTTGATTCGAGAGATGTGTTACCTATGGAACATGTTGAAGGGAGTATTGGTAGTGACCGTCGACGAGTCATGTACCTTAGGGATGTCTCTCTTGGATCATCAGTACTTTGACCACGAGACTGCTCGGATATGAGGCCAACAGCCCTAGCACAATGTCGACATCGCATCGGCCAGAAAACTAGTTGACGACGATGAAGTGTCTCTCGGTTCTTGATAGTCCACACAGCACAAACAATGAGATAGAAGAAGACAGAACTAAGACACAATTGCATGATTGCATAGGTAAAGTTTCGGCCATCATCATCCCACCCTGTATTAGGGCTAACAGGTAATACCTTCACGATAGCAAAACAGAATCCAATACTTGTCAGTATAGTCACTAGCAGCATGCTGCTGTATTGTACATTGGGAATGATTTGTGCTTTATTTGAAGCTCGCTCCATTTTGAAGCATCTACGAAGATTGGCTATTGCAAACCTCTGGAAATCAGATTTGTGAGAAAGAAAACTCCACATGAACATCAGATTGAAATTGCTTTTAACACTGTACTGGATGTTTATACATCAGGCAATCTCAATATTTACTGGTTGCATATTTGTAATTGAAGGTAAGATGTCTTTCGCTATCATTCCTATTACTGGATAAAGTTAATGACTTGCACTAATCAGAGATTACTTACAGTATCGAATTGGTCTCTTCTTAACTCTCTCTCTCTCTCTTG